AACACTATCCTCAAGTGTTTCAAGTGTTTTTCCATGTTCAAGCTGTAGATAAATATATCATCAAAGAAAACCACGATGAAATCTCTCAAGTGAGACTTAAAAATCTGATTCATAACTGCTTGAAAAGTAGTTGGTGCATTTGTGAGGCCAAAAGGCATCACAACAAACTCATATAGGCCGGAGACAGTTACAAATGCTGTTTTTGGGATATCCTCTTCATGCATTCTAATTTGGTGGTATCCAGCCCTTAGGTTTATCTTTGAAAAGATAGTTGCTCCCCCTAGCTCATCCAATAAATCATCTACCAAGGGAATTGGTAGCTATCTTTAATTGTAGTTGCATTGAGTTTCCTATAATCAATGCAAAACCTCCATGAGCCATCCTTCTTTTTAACTAACAGCACAGGCGAGGAATAGGGGCTGTTACTGGGTCTAATAACCCCTGTTTACAACATCTCATCCACCAATATTTCAATCTCCCTCATTTGAAGCATAGGATACCTATAAACATGTTGCTTAATAGGTCCTATATTAGGCTTGGTGGGAATTCTATGGTCCATGCTTCTCTTACGGGGTAAACCAACAGGGACTTCAAATAGATGTTGATACTCTTGAAGCAATGTCGCAATTTCAATATCACAAACATATGCCTCCACTGTTGTTTGCCTAGAAATAATGCATAAGAAACCTCCAGTGTCTTCCATTTCCAGCTCCCTACTAAATTGGTTCATAGTTAGCATGCTTCATGCAATCCTAGGCTGGATTCCTTGGAGTTTAACCATATTCCTTTTAAAACAAAACTGAATTGTATGCTCTGCAAAATCCATGGTCACCTTTCCAAACTGACTTAGCAAGTCCACTCCAATAACCATGTCATAGCCCCCCAATTTCAAGAATCTCACAGGAGCACTGAACCTGTGGCCCCCCATTTCCCAGGCAAACATAGGGCACTTAGATCTGCATTCCACCTTGTTCCCAGCGGCAATGGTTATCAACCAAGGATTAATAAACTCCACTATGCACCCCAACTTTGAGGCTGTTTTGGGTCCAAAAAAGTGTGAGTGCTGCCTGAGTCTAGCAAAATAACCAGTTCATAGTTGTTGGACTTTCCTAACAACTTAATGATATTGGAAGGGACCTGACCAGCCGCAGCATTCAAAGAGATTTGGGGTTCCTCCACCCCTTGGCATTCTCCCAATTCCGAAGTTCCAATGTCGGTCTCACTTTCCCCATCCTCTTCTCCCATGATTAAATATACTCTTTTTCACTTGTGTCCTATATGGAACACCTCATCACAATTGAAACACAATTTTTTTTTCTCTTCTATCCTTCATTTCGTCGGGGGACAGCCTTCTAATAGGAGGTAATTTTGGTTTAGCAACATCTGAACCAATTTTAGTTACCGGCACTGTTGGTTGATGACTGCTACCCCTGTTCAATCCTCTTTGTCCCTTAGTGAGAAGATTCACAATATCCTCACTTTGGATGGCCAATTGAATAGCATTCCTCAAAGTGTTAGGCTTCTGCATTGTCACGAACTTTCCAATCTCCTCCCTTAATCCACCAATGAAGCTTTCTACAAAATATTTTTCCCTCATAGCTTTATTATCCTCTCTTAATAAAGCTCTCATTTCTTTAATCTCCTGGACATAATTCAACACAATGGTGTTTTGCCTCAATTTATTAAATTGAGCAACTAGACTTCCTCCACCAGGATTCAGAAACCTTTCCAACACTAATGCAGAGAATTCAGCCCATGACAAATTGATATCCTCCTCAATATAGTCCACAAACCAACTATCAGCTATTCCTTCCAAATTCATAGCAACAAGGCTGAGTTTGTCATAATCAGACACTGGATTGTAAACAAAATACCTAGTGCACGTTATCTCCATTAAATTTTGGAAAATCCAATCGTAATTTATTATTATGCAAAGTGGAGTGAGCTTCATTTAACCTAGTCATGGGAGTTCGAGACAGTATTCCCCTTCCTTCCTTAGGTTTAACACCAGAGTCGAGAGCAATATGTGAAATATAAGGATCTAGAGGCTCATTACCTCTGAATGAAGGTCCAGCTTGTTGTTCCTTCATGAAATTCAGAAATTGAGTCTTCAATAAATCTCCTGGACTCTCCAACTTCGCATCTAGCTTAGATTCCAGCCTAGCTTCCATTTGAATATGACCTTAGATTATAGCAGTTTGGTCGTCTACAACCTCTGTTACTTGTTGTTACAGAACGTCGAGCCTTTGTGTTTGAGATCGCGTCATCTAGAGAGAGAGCAGCGAAATCTGGCTCTAATACCAAATTGTCACGTCTCCAGCATGAGCGCACGAGAGATCAGAGAGATTGGAGAAGAAGAAGACAGGTAATTCGATTAGATTTTTTTGTTATCACCAAAATTGGTTCAATACAGGTACTTATACAATCTTAAATTGCAAAATTAGAAAGAAGCACTTTTATGCTTTTACAAATTAATGCTTTTATTAATATTTGCCTTCTTCTCCTTCTTCATTTCTTTGTGACATATTCTCACCCCTGAAACTATTCTTCCGGCGCAAACGAAAGGATTCCAATGGTGAATAACCTTCCACCGGCGGCGGGGACTGCAGTTGAAAGGACATTGCCGGCGATTAGGACCGACGGTGAAATAAGAGGAATGAAAAATAGGGTTTCAAAGACCCAGATACGAGGGACGAAGAGGATCAAATGGTGGGTCGGGAGTGAGAGAATAATGTGTGATGTATAGGTGTTTTAGGAATGTTCATTTAATTACATAATTAGTTGTGTTTATTTGTTAATTTAAGTGGTATTATTTTATGGTATTTTTGTAATATTATATGAAGGGTGGTGTAATTTTATACTCCCTCCGTCCCATAACTAAATATCCATTTGCTTTTGTACGTAGTTTTAGAAATATTAGTATTATATTTGGATGTAGTAGGAATAAAATAGAAATGACTAAACTGACCTTATTAGTATGTGTGATATAAAGGTAATGTCATTTGTGTAATCTATTGTAAGTTGCAAGGATATTTGTAATGTTAGGTAAATAGTACAATTACTAAAAAAAGAAATTGATACTTTGTTATGGGACGGACTAAAATAGAAAAATGGATACTTTGTTATGGAACAGATGGAGTATTTTAGTGGAATATATATTTATGTATTTGCAATGGACAAACTAAAATGACAAAATTGATAGATTAATGGTGGATGGAGAGAGTATTTATATTGTATATATTTTATTTAAATATAATTTTTAAAACACTTAAATATATTTTAAATTTCTTTTAAGAAAATTTTATTGGTGCTGATCTTCATTAATTTCCCAAATTAGCATACATAAAATATACAAATATCATAAATTTTAATTACATAGAACACATGTTTATAATAAAGATATGTAATGTTTGTTCATAATCTAACGTGTACAGAATAAAATTATGTTATGGATTAAAATTAACTATTACATGTGATGTGGGAGACTATATCATTACTTTTAGTTGATAAGCCCAATTTCGGCCCCTCCCTAGGGAAGAGCCGCGCCTTGAATTTATATTGTATCAATATTAATGATGTGATGTCTGCAGTAATATCGTATATTGTCTATTAACACAGTATGTGTTATCCGGTGTTTAATTGACCACCTTCTTTCAATTATATATATATATATATAATATATCCTAAAACAAATAATAATTAAATAAATGACATACATTCCAACTTTCAATTACAATTTGAACCAAAAACGAAATACCCTCTTACGTGAAATAAAAAATGCAAGGTTTTTTCGGATCAAAAAAAAAAAAAGAATGCAAGGTTTTTCTTCAGTGGAGGAATATATTTTATTACACTATGGGTCTATAGCTTGTTTCAACAAGAAATCTCAGACATGGGCATTCTTTTATTTTATTTTATTTTTCATTACTTATTCCTTTCTTGCCCTCCAAAACTTGATCGCTTTACCAGAAATACACTCATGAGCAATGACTACAGAACAATAATAATGACTAGTACAATTTGTTGTATTGTCCCAAGTTGAAGCTTGAAAGAGTACACTCTACATTCAAGTCTTTTGTCGCCCTTCAACCTTTATATACTTATTGTACCCTCTCTAAAATTAAGACTAAAACATAGGATATGCTTTTCGTGAGTTTGCTTTTCGGATTTGAATTTTTAAATAATAAAAATTTGAATTTAAATAATTGTTTGATAAAATATAAATAAATGTTAATTTTATATTTTGAATGTAAAATAAATTTTTAGTATATTATAAAAAAATAATTATTTAATTTGATATTTTCTAGGAAAAAAAATAGTAAAAATATATGAAAATTTCATAAAAGATTACAACCACTAGTAAAAATATCTTACTTTATCATCTATCATGTGTGCATTTCCTTCTTGATTTCATTGCATGTGTTGTCCAAAAGCAATAGTGCAGTTATGTCTATATGTATGTTGCCTTGCAAGTCTACCTAGAATAATAAATACACAGTTGATGCTCATGCCTAACTCTTATCCACTTTTCTGTTTTTTTGGTCTTTCCCAATCATTTCTAGTGGGACACTCACTTTTCCCGACTGTTTAGACGTTGTTTTCTAATACCTTACCTTATCATTCTTGCATTGTATAATATGCAGTTTATCAATCTACTTTTTTTTTTTTTTTTACAATAAATCATACTCTAAATCACCACCCCTCTCTCGCAATCTAAAAATGCTAATGGAAGAAGTTTATGTCAAGTTGCTGTTTCAGACATCAACTTGATCATTCATTATTAATTATTCCAAAACTGTGTGGGCATTAAGTTATTACAAAATTCAAAAGGTAGATTCTTATCCTGACCAGTAGTAGTATCCTGGGCTGGGCCTTGAAGTAAGTAAAGATTATAGAATTTGATTTTGTCTTACTGGTATTGCTGCTAATACTTCAATATGGATACAACTAACCTGATAACGACTAATTACAAACCATCTACTATATTAAAAGGTCTTGATGCAAGAAACTAAGGAACAGAAATAGATGGGGAGGCTCTTCTGTTTCTTATTGTGCATCCTTATATCCATGCCCCTCTTGATCGTGGCACAACCCCTCTCCACGGACTCACGATGGATCGTCAACAGCGAGTCAGGGCAACGTGTGAAGCTGGCGTGCGTTAGCTGGCCATCGCACCTTGAAGTAGTGGTGGCCGAAGGGCTGAGCAAGAAGGCAGTGGATGAGATTTCTCAAGATATAAGGGACATGGGGTTCAACTGTGTCAGGTTGACATGGCCTCTCTTCCTATTCACTAATGATACATTAGCCTCCATCACAGTCAGGCAGTCCTTGAGGAACCTCGGATTGTTCGCATCCATCTCGGGCTTTCAGGCAAACAATCCCTCCATCATCGATCTTTCTCTCATCGATGCATACAAGGTAATGACCAAAAAGATATATATGATCTTCATCAGTCTGTCTGTCTGTCTGTGTCTTCTTCATTCAGTGATCTTCTGCTTTAGAAAAACAAAGCCCAGTGTATTTGTTTACAGATATCTGCCTTTAACCACTCAATTATTTGGGCATAAAGAATTGCAGCTGAGGTAGGTTCTAGGGAGTCATATCAACATTTGAAAATAAGTTTTCCAACCATTAGGTAGCGATCGATGGGGACCCATAAGATAAGATAAGATAAGATAAGGAGCAGCACCACTCTCCTTCGTTTTCTACTCCAAGAATTTCTTTATTTTCCTAATATTTGGACTCTAAACACAGAAGTAGATATGTACATTACCATATATATATATATATATTTGGAAAAACAGCTCATTAAGATATGCAATTACCCAAGTCTAATAAGGCCTAAGATGTTATAACTAGACATGATGTTACAGGAAGTGGTAGCTAGTCTTGCGAAAAAACAAGTGATGATCATACTTGATAACCATACGAGTAAGCCAGGCTGGTGCTGCAGCACTTTCGACGGCAATGGGTTCTTTGGGGACGAGTTTTTTAACCCAGAAGTGTGGATCAAGGGCCTCACCACGGTTGCCACTACTTTCAATGACACTAAATATGTCGTTGCCATGAGCTTGAGGAACGAGCTCAGAGGACCAAGACAGAATGTCGACGATTGGTACAGGTACATGCAGCAGGGAGCGGAAGCAGTGCATGCAGCAAATCCTAATGTTCTCGTGATTCTATCTGGGCTACAATACGATAGAGATCTTTCTTTCCTTGTAGACAAACCGGTGGCCTTGACTTTCTCGAACAAGCTGGTATTCGAGCTGCATTGGTATGGTTTCTCAGATGGGCAGGCATGGAAGACCGGCAACCCCAATGAGGTTTGTGGGCGTCTGGTGAGCGAAACGATGACCAAGGCCGGTTTCCTATTGACACAGGGGTTTCCATTGTTTCTTAGCGAGTTTGGGATGGACATGCGAGGAACAAATATCAACGACAACCGGTACATGAACTGCTTCATGGGCTGGGCAGCCGAACAAGACGTGGATTGGGCATTGTGGACTCTCACTGGGAGTTATTACCTAAGGGATGGGATTGCAGGATTCGACGAAACCTATGGCGTCTATGACTGGAATTGGTGCAACACTCGGAACCAAAGCATCCTACGCCGGATTTCGTCTCTCCAGTATCCATTCAGAGGTATATCATATACGAGCAACTTTCTTTAAAACCTAAACCTCATAGGGGTGTGATCTTGTATCTAAATATGCAAGCAGGGCCAGGTTACGCAGAAAGCCGTGAACACAGAGTACTATTTCATCCGATGACAGGCCTGTGTGTCAAGAGGATATCAATACTCAAACCTTTGATTTTAGGACCGTGCACTGAGGCAGAAGCCTGGAGCTATAGTCCACAGCAAACCTTGACGATAAAGGGAACATATTTTTGCCTGCAAGCAGACGGGTTGGGAAAGCCAGTGAAACTCGGGATAACATGCAGCGATGGCAATTCCAAATGGGAAGCCATTTCAGACTCCAAGATGCAGCTTTCTACAAACCTCGAAGCCAAGAAAAGTGTCTGCTTGGATGTAGATTCGGACAACAAAGTCGTCACAAACGACTGCAAATGTCTGGATAACAGAAACAACAAGTGTGATCCAGGAAGCCAGTGGTTCAAAATTATTGACAGCACAAGAAGAAGTCAGAGTGGCCGTAGCGACTTCTTCCATGAGATCGGCTTGACTGGTGAACCTATTGCAAGGACTATTATCAGCTTATGGGAGGGGATGCAGCTCACCATTTCATGATACATTTGCAGATGGCAATGCAATAGAGAAATTCGAACACGACAAGGAGGGCAATTTGAGGGATGGATCACTAGCAAAGAAGAGACATCATTGATTCCATCAAAAAATGACTCCGATATTGCAATTCTATCCTTAAAGCTAATTTTTCAAGCATCCAATCTAAGACCCAAGCCTAGCAATAAAGAAAAAAGAATACAAGTTCTCTCAACCAGTCCCCTCAGTCACCAGTTCCTCATCCAACTAAAATCAGTCAGTCTGTTTCCCCACAATAGAATCAGTTAAAACAATCTACTAGAGGTACTAATTTCTATCATAGTCATAGATGCATTTTATAGTTCTTCACACATTGAAACTACAACAAATGGTATTCAATTAAAGAAATAAAGTTGTATTCAGCATCTTCATCCTTATTCAATTAACCAAAAGAAAGCAAAGTAACTCTACAATGTACAAAAGCAAAAGAAACACTACTCAAAAACTTCCACAGATAGCAGAACAAACGAACCTTGAAAAGAAGCTCCAACGAAAGCACCTGCTGTCACTGCGAGCGTTTCCATTGCTCATTATTCCTTATTCTTTACAGAGATTTTTAAATTCAATCGAGCAAATGCAGAACCACATAGACAAATGAAAGCAACCTATAAATATGCTCTGCTCGGCATTAATTGAAGCTGTTTGGGTCAAGCGAAAGAGAATACCAGGAGAGAACTGGCATGAGAACAAGAAAGTTGAAAAGAAATGGGAGTTTAGGGTAGAATTATTACTAATATTTTATTTTTTATTTCTGGGAAATTGCGTATTACCAATAATATTATTTTCATTTATTGCGTTAAATTTGTTCTATTATATAAGTGTAAATCCTAAATATTGTTTATATCCTAATATTGAAGTTGTTCATCTAATTTTAATAAAGTAACTTATTAAAATGTTTTAAATATAATTTTTCTGAATAAAATAAATAAAAAAGTATTTGCATAATTAGACATATTTATGCCATTATTGGAATAAAGATGTTATTTTATGTTTATTTAAAAAATAATTTTTTCTTTGTTCCAGTTATATGTTTATTTTTTCAAGAAAATATAAAAATAATAATATTTTAATTACAGTGAATAATTAAAAGTAATATAAAAATAATTTTATTTTTGATTTTTATTCTAAATATAATAATATAATGATAAAATATGTATTTGTAAAACAAATAGATTCATAGTTACTAAAAATAAAAATATATACAATAACAGAGAGGTATGAAAATGAAAAAATATATAAATTTTTTTCCATTTATTTATAATAAAAAACAAAAAACTATTATGCAATTTGCTCTAAAGTATTTTAATGTAAAATTATAATTTATTCTAATATAAAAAGTAAAAGTAATTTAATTTGAAGTTGAAATTTAATTATCACTGTACACAATTCCGTAATATATATATTGTTTTATTTCACTAAATATTTCTAGAAAACACTAGTAACTTTGTGTCCATTTAATTGAATGGATTTTAATATCAGAATATACTTTTTCTTTTTTTTTTTTACTTTTTTACAAAAAATACACGTACAAAATCATTTTTTTCACTGCGTGATATATTAATAAAAATAAAGTACAATAATTGAATTTTGTTTAATAATATAAACGTATTTTAGGATTTTTAAGATAAAAAAAAATAAAATATAAAACTATAAAAGACCATTCTATTCTATTCTTTTCTTTTCTTTTCTTTTTTTCTTTTTAATTAATGAAAACTGTTTTGTAGCAAGTCTAAACGTGACCAAGTCATTTCATATGACTGATTATTAATATAAACAGAATTTCTAATACCAAAAAATCACCGTCTAATTCATTCCCTAAATACATAATCTAATGCCAAAAAATAAAAATAAAAATATATCCGTTCAAAATACAACAAAATTAAGAGCCAAGATTTTATATAAATACATCACACTATATAACATTAAATACACTTTTCCAAAAAGAATCATTGATAATACCTTTCAATTAAAAATAGTCTTAAAGCAAGAGAAGAGAAAAAATTTCAACCTTATAATCCAAAACAAAACTTTGGTAGCACAATATCTTCTAGCACAAAACACAAATGGAATGATGAAGATGAAGGGTCAACGATTGAGCAAAAATACTAGTCATCTCGAGAAATACAATTTGTGGCATATGGATGGCAAATAAGATTAAAATCTGTTTTAGTGAATTATTGTATTAAAAATATATATGATCACAACATATATAGATAATATAAAGTTTGACTTGGTAAAAATTTGAGAATATTCCTTTAAAAAAATGATTAACATACATAAGAATAACGAAATAAATTATTGTAAAAAAACAATAAGTACAAATTTTAGTCAAAGAGACGTATATTATGCCACATATTAATGTCATTGATAACTTCAAATATGAACATATTTTCCGCTTAACAAAACTATGTATTACTTGAATTTCGGTATGAAAACTATCACAGTATCTGATTTATGCATACTTTATTGATCTATTCCGCTTGACATGATCCAGAATTGGTTTGTTGATATTGTTAACAATTTTGGCCTTTTTAAGCAGTGATTTTGGTCCAGAAAAGCTAAGGCATGAGAAACAAGCGATGGTCATGTCCGCTCAACAAGCGACGATCTTATCGCTCATGCCAGGGAATCAGACACCTACCGCAGCGAAGCAACGACAACTCATTACAGATAATGCCTAAGTGTCCAACGCGCAACAGAACAGCCATTCCACTACCAGCCGGCATAGATAATTCCGCTCAGGTTGTAAATATACTTCGAGAGAAGTATACATGCATTTTTCTTTGCGCAAATTCATAGATGCCTTTCTGCCTTCCGAGAGCTCTAACCCTGTAAGGGAGTTCTCAGCAGAAATAGCCAGGGGAATTGAGATTTTTTTCTCCTCCCTTGGCTGCTACTTTACTGCTTCATTAATCCTAGTTTACCGCTTTGATTTACAACTTTTGTAGAAATAGAACTTTACTATTTTGATAGTGAGTAATGAAATATCACTTGTTCTTCATCGTCACTCCTTCCATGTTCTCACATTTATATAAATCTTAGTTGTAAAGAACTCTAAATCGCTGAGAAAGAACACAGAAAAATCGATTATCCAAGCCTTGTTTTGCGTCACAAATAGATCCAGGGTAGTTCAATGTGGTTAAGTACGCGGAGCCTTGTCGACCTGCTTAATTAATAATCTGAATTCGATTTTGATTAATAAGAGGTAACAGAAGGATAAAGTCACTAATGAGACATAAATTGGGATAATTAATGGGGCATAGGCGGTGGTTTATTGAGTCACAAAAACTCTTAGTGTCAGTAGGGTTTCTTTCTTATAATATTCTAATTATGGGCGTCATTGAAGTCTTGTTGTAACTTCCTTAAGGTCAAGTATCAATGATCTAAGTTCTTTATGATTTTGTTTATATGATTACCTTACTCCCTCCTGCCATCTTCGTATTATATATATATGTTTCGACTAAACACTAGCATCACTCGCTCATTTTATTTAGGATAATCTAGCCATTAAGGAAAACACAAATCAGACACAGCGCCTCTTTATCACCCTCCTCCGCTCATCCTATATAAATATACAGTGCCTCTTCGCCCATATTCCCTATCGCTCACCCAATGCTGACACCACCTCCGCTCATCATCACTCCGCTCACCTTTGCTCACCTTACTGTTTTCTTTAGTTTTTCTAGTTATTTCTAGTTTTAATTTCAGACTTGCTTTCGAGCGGGTCTTCTTACCGCTTTTTCGCTGCTCTCACCAGATTAGCGCTCGATTTGACTTCATGACTTAAAATCCCTGTGTTCGACTTGAAAACTCACCAGCTAAAGAGTATAAACAATTATGATAAATGATTTAGGTTCTACAACTACAAACTTTTATTTATATTTGATCGCTCACAATAGTCAATTACACCTTAATTTTTGACCAAAATTCCCTGTACTTGAATATATAAAATCGTTCATGTCAGTTATACACCCCGAGTTAACTGTAAACAATAAATTATGTAGCTCAAAGTTTTGTTTTAAAGCTTTGTCATACACATATTAAGAGAAAAAAAAATACTTTCAAATATATGGACAATGTAATGCATATAAATAAGAAATTGGTTTATATAATAAATAGAACTAGTAAATGGGCCACTCTGGACCGGATCTTGAACTCTATATAAACTTGGATCCGTATTATATGGTTCTAAATCTGATATCCATGGTTTTGATCCGGAACCGGTATTATATATTATTTATTATTATATATCTATATAATTTTATATTTATATATTCTATTAATCTAAACTTTAATTTTCTCTATCTGACACAAACCAGACACGCGAGTCTGCCGCAATTGTATCATTGTTTCGCTCCCTTCAAAATCGAGTAATCTACAATTCGATATCAACCACCGATCTTATTCTCCCTTATGCCATCTCAATTTTTTCGCACTTTAGCACTTCGGCTTCACTCTTTCTCCCTATTTCCCCCTCCAGACTATAGGTTCCATTCACATCTTGTCGCATTACAAGTTCTTGTCGACCATTGCCAGGTACTTTTCTTCTCTCTCTTGACTCCACCTCGGCACTCCGCAACACAACTATACTTATTTTTGAATTGTAAATTTTGGTGTTTTTTTAAATTATTAGTCAAAAGATATGCAATATTCTACATTTTCAATTTATTTTTGACTTTGTCAGTATAAACAAAATCATACTCGTTTATATTATTAATTAGAGTGGGTTTTCTTTCAATTTGTGGCTTTAATTAATTATTTTGAAGGTATTCACAATCTTCGAGCATACTTATTTGTAAAAAATGAATAATTTTTTTTTATTATTATTATTTATTGTAGGATGTCTTGTTTGTTGCAAAGTAATACAACTAACTCTTAGAGTAACAGGAAGCTACAACTGGAAGTGAAGAATATACATAAATAAAAATTACTGGGAAAAAAAAAATTGACTTCTACGGATTGGCTTGAGATTAGTTTGGAGATAAAAAAATATAAATCAATATGTAATTATTGTGGTTGACAGTTCGGTGGAAATAACTCTAATGATACTAGTCATTTGTCAAATTAGAAGGAACAAAAATAGTGGAAAAGATAACCTTAACTTACCAAAAGTGTTATTGATTATACTACTAAGTCAATATTTTTAAAATTTAATCAGAAGAGAAATAGAAAAGACTTAGGAAGAGCACTCGTTAAGCATAATTATCGTTTTAACATGATGGAACATGAGTATTTTGAGATCTTTTTGAATAACCTACAACCACATTTTAAGCTTGTTTCTCGAAATACAATTAGAGCTAAAGTTGTTAGTGTTTACAAGGAAGAAAAGAAGAAATTTTATCAATGATTTAATAGTTTTGATGGC